ACGTCCCAGGGCGTCCCCGCGTCCCTCCCAGCAGCCACCTTGTGTGCATGGCCCTATGCGCGGAGAATTTTTATTCCGGGGTCCCCGTTATATGTGGGCCGTGGGGCCGGGGATGGAGACAGAGAGCGGGGGCTCCATACCTCCACCTATCCCCTAACCCCTCGGCCGCAGGAAGTTAAATTGCAGTTATAATAACATTTTCGTTTTTTCTTCTGGCAGTCAGTAGCCGCACCTGTTTCCGTTATCGCCGCTGCCAATTATTTGGAGATCCCATTCGGTCATCAACAATCATATACCTCGGCGCTCGCAGGCACTCGACGAGTCATCGAATTATTATTGCATCTAGACGGAGTCAATTTATTTAATTATTGAACAAGTCGCCTCAAGTAAAAGCAAAACGCGTCCATCATTATTTGTTTCGCCATGGGCGCTTCTCGTCAAATAAAGGAAAGGCTCTAGTTTTGAGTTTAACTGTAACGCTCGGAACTGAAACAGGAGGCATGCATGTGTCTGGAGACAGTGTGGCAAGCGAGCAGGGCCCAAGCAAGGAGAACAGGATAGTCACAGGTGCATCAAAATGACGTAATTTAATCACCATTTGGTGCATTTTGGTCACTATTTTGGCTTGAGGCGGGATGTTTGGGAGGTCAAAGACATCAAAATGAGTCTAAAAGTGACCAACCCGTTCTCATTGGGAGGGTAGTTAGATTCACGGCGTGTGGGTATGGACGGCTGCAGCCTAGCCTAGCGCCGCGTAGGGAGGGAAAAGGCAAGACGTACGGCCATGGCCCCCGCTTGTTCAGTTTGATGTCCTGCTCGTGATTGACGTGGTGCTGCCGGGCTTGCGGTCACGGTGGGTGTATAGTACGGTACAGGCCGTCACGTGAGGCAGCAGGTGGAAACGCGATCCCCGCCCCGCCCAGCCAGCCGCACACACCACACTGCAGCCCTCCCCCGCACGACGCCGTCACAGTCCGCGGGCCAGCAACAAAAGGCCCTCCTGCTTCTTTTCCTTTTGGTGCGCTACGCTGCGCTGCTGCTGCGGTGGTGGTGGCCGGTGCGCTATGGGTTGGGGTGAGTCCGCTCTCTGACGTGCCGCCCCGCCCCCGCGGCTTGGACAGGTGCAGCAGGGCGCCGTGCCGTGGGAGCAGAGGGAGCACGAAAGAGCGGCGGCGCGGCGTGGCGCGGCAGTGCGTCCAGCAGGGCCTGTAATGAAGACGGGAGCCAAGGGTTAAGGCTCGACCATGCGGCTTGGCAGTGTTACCGAATTAAGATAATGAATATTTGAGGGGCGGTGGTGGGCTCTGCCGGGCGGTAGCCGAGCGGCGCGGCGGCCCGGTGTGGGGGTGTG